TAAAGTGCTTTAGTGCTTCAAACAAACAAACAAACAAACAAACTTTTCTGTTTTTTCACCCCCTCAGCAGAATCCACTGATCCTTTTTCCCCCCATCTCCTCCCACTCCTTGCCCCCAAAACTCAGAACACTTGGGCTCTATTGGAGACTTCTCCCTCCCCAGGTGTTGCCACTTTTCCCACCCCTTCCACTCCTTTACCCCCCCCAAGGAAGGGCAGCCTCCCTTCAGCTGCACGCAGCAAGGCCCAGGGATGTTCCTCCGGACCGGTGAGTCCCCAGGGTGCGCCCCACGGTGGGGAGGGGAGGAAGGCCGGGGGGCCTGGTTGGCCCCCCGGTCAGGTAGGCAGGGTGTGGGATGCCCAAGAGGGTGGGGGGCTGCTTCAGCATCACCCATGGGTGCTGGCTGTGCCCCCTGATGCAGGGCTGAGCCCTTCTGTGTGCTGGGTGGGGGTCCCATCCTGGGCTCTGGGATGATGATGATGGTGGCGGTGGAGCAGGAGCCTTGGAGCCGTGTCGTTGTTTGTTTGTTTGCTGGGCTGACTGGGGGAGGTTGGGCTTTGCATGTTGGGCTGGAGAGGGGCCAGATGTTTGAGCTGAAAAATGGGCATTATTGCCCTAAGCCGCTTAGGGCGGCGAGTGGCTGCGCCCAGCCCCTCCTGGGGAGCCACAAAGCCCGAATTACGCCCCTGAAATCGCCTTTGGAAGGACTGCTGTTATCTGGAGATTTATTTTCTGTTTCCAGCTTGCCTGTTCAGTTCCCCTCCTTCCTGCTGCCACCAGGCTGTCGCCATCCCTGGGGTGGCTGTGCAGCTCCATGTGGGGGGGGGGGGGGTTGGGGTGTCTCAGCAGGTGGCTGGGGAAAAAAGTGCTGCTGCTTTCCTGGCAGAGGAGCCTAAAAACCTCCCATGGAGCTCCTGGTGCCTTTAGGAGCTGTAGGAGAATGGTGCCATCTTGCTGGAGGACCCCTTGTCCCCCGGGCCTGGTGTCCAGGGTGTGTGCATGCTGGGTGAAGTACATTAGAGATGCTCGAGTATTTGGAGGGGATGCTGGAGCCTCTGAATCTGAACTGCTTTTTTCCTTTCCCTCAGAGAATTCAGAAGGGATTTCTCTTCTTAGCCCACATCCTTGGGTTTCATTCTTTTCCTCAAGCCATGCTGGTTTCACTTCAGTGCATGATTCTCTTGTGGTTTCATAGATTTCTGCTGTAAAGAGGGTTATTCCTTCCCCAGCTCTTCCCAGTGCAAAGCCTCTCCAGGGAAGGTATGAATGGGAGGTGGAGATTGGAGGACATGTGTCTTGGAGGACTGTGTGGCTGGGTTCTTCCAGCAGGAGCTTCTCAGGAACCATCCCAGTTCAGGTGGTTGTCAGTTGGCTCTTACCAAGACTTCTCCTTTACACGGCTCCCTGTTTCTCTGTCCACCTTGACCACCTCTCTGTCCACCTTGACCACCTCTCTGCCCTTGCTGCAAGAACTGACCATGTGCAGGACAACCCCACCCCCCGAGCAGGGCGCTGGAGCTGCACCACAGCTCTCAAAGGTAGCCAGTGTCCTAACCCCCATAAACATGACCTGTCCCCTCCACCCCCCTGCCCACCCCTGGGGCAAGGCCACCAGCAGCATGGTGGTGGGAGTCATGCTGGGCTGTGCCCCATCAGCCCTGGCCCATACCTGTGTATTCGGGGAAGCAGATGGTCAGAGGGGATTTCTTGATTTTCTCAGCAAATAGGTCTTTCTTGTTGAGGAAGAGAATGATGGAGGTATCGATGAAGAATTTGTTGTTGCAGATGGAGTCGAAGAGCATGAGAGATTCATGCATGCGGTTCTGCAGCGGGGAGCACAGAGGGAGGAGAGGGGGGAGAGAAAGGCAAAGAGAGAGAGAGAGAGAGAGTTAGAGGAGAGGAGGACACTTATCTGACCTGAGATGCTCAGCAAGTGAAGAAAAATCTCTCAAATAAGACAGCAGGAAGTGTGAGATGGTTGCCAAGGTGAAGGGAATGGGGTGTTGCTCTCCTCCCAGGCTGGAGGATTCAGCTGGTCCCCTCCTTGTAGGACCTCTCTGCTGGCTGCTCTAGCTGGGCTGACATCTGAAGCTTCCAGGAAGAGCAGACACCTCCCCCCTCACTTTCTCATCAGCTGCGTGAACTGAAGAGCTGGAGAAGGTCTTTCTGGTATCACCTGCATCAATGCAGGAGCTGGGCACCCCTGAAGCATCACTTGCAGAGCCTACATAAAGGATGGACAGACAGTACCAGCTGGGATGCCTTGGGATGGAGGGAGTTTGGGCCACCTCGGGTGGTCCTATGAACCCTCCTGGAAGGGCACTTGCGCCAGGAGGTGCCTGTTGTGACAAAACCCAAGGACAAGCCTGTTGTGTCCAAACCAGGACACCAGTGCCAAGGGATTGTCTGGAGGCTGGGGCAGGTCCTGTCCCAACCTGGCTCTTCTGCCTCTGCCAAAATCTTCAGTCCACCTTTGAAAAGACCACAGTGGTGGCTGGGTTGCTGCTAAGAAATCCCAGAGCTGCTGCATGGAGGAAGTCAATGCAGGTGCCTCTGCCAGCCCACCTTGCAGCTCTCCTGGGTTGCTCCAGGGAGATCTGCAGCATGGAAGACCTCTAGTAGGAGCATGAATAGAGGCAAATCTCTACAAGTTGTCATGTTTTTGCAATAAACTGTCCTTTCACCTGTGGACAAAAGCTGCGTAAAGACTTTTTTCCCCATGCAACACCAGTTGTTACCAGAGAGGAGTGGAGACCAGGCAGAAGGACAGGAGAAGGAGGAGGAGGTGGGGTTGTCCTGCATCAAGCCATGGCAGGGCACCATGGAGCAGAGCATTTTCATGCTTCTTTTGAGCAGCTGCAGGGTGTCTGTGTGGGCAGGCACATGCGCTTGCTGTTAGCGTGGAGGTGCTGCTGGACAGGATAGATACAGCTCTCTAGGAGCTCTCAAAAACCTTCTCCATCGTGAACGTGCTCTTAGAAGAAACAAACACATTCCCTGCTGCTCCACTGGCAGCTTTGAGAGATGTTTTCTGCAGCCCATGAGCCTTTTCATTGCACACACCCACCTAGTTGACTACTCGAACATGAATCATAGAATCACGGACTGGTTTGGGTGGGAAGGGACCTTTCAGGGCCACCTAGTCCAACCCCCCTGCAGGGAGCAGGGACATCTGCAGCTAGAGCAGGTTGCTCAGATGGCCAACCTCACCTGGAGTGGCTCCAGGGATGGGGCATCAACTTGCAAAGCTTCTGGTGCCAAACCAAGGCATAGTGAAGACCAGAGCTCCTGGTCCCACCATGCCTCTTTCTGCAACCCTCTCTTGGGGCTGAGCCCCCCGAGTCCTGGCTCAGGTGCCTCAGCTTGCACAGGGACACCCAGCTCTCTGGAAAAGCCAAGAGCAGCAGGGATGCACTCTGGGCAGGAAGAATACTCTGGAGCTGGTGGAAAACCCTCCTCCAGAAAACATCCCCCCACAGAGCCCCCCCATTTTTTTTTCTAGAGGTGCAGCAAGGGGGGGGGGGGGGTGTGCGCTCGC